AATTCTGCTTTAGAGACGGTCCTAGTGATCGATGATGACGATGCTATGATGGTGAGCATGATGATGGTGATGATGATGATGATGATGATGATGAAGATCGTAATTTCTGCGGATACGTTAATTTCTGCTGTTTCTGATGTAACTATTACTTCTGCTGCTGTTGCTGATGATGATAATGTGATAATGGGCAATGTGATGATGATGATGATGATGATGATGATGATGATGATGATGATGATGATGATGATGATGATGATGATATTGATAATAATGATAATGGCCCTTTTCTAAGTAAGAAATGGTGTTATCGTGAACCATCTCCTATGAAAATGGCTTCCGACATTATCCTTCTCGAAGCAAGAAATTTTTAAGCTGTTATCCCCAGCGATTTTTCTGTCAAAATAGCTTCCAACTGACCTGGGGTCGAAACAAAAATAATCAATATGTGGTTGTTGTTTGAGAATCAACGCAGGTAAGGTCATACATAGTAGTAGACCTATCTTCTCAGAAAATCTAATTACAAAGGCTGTCGCCACGCACAGTATTCGAATTCTGCAAAATGGAACAAGAGTCAACCCTGATTTAGTGACACCGGAGATTAATGGCAATCTCCGGTGACACATTATCATGTTACTGTTATAGGCCTACATAGCTGGCAGAGAGGTTTGGGGGGTCATTTTAAGTATGTCAAGGTGAACTCTTCTTAAAATGAAACCCCTTCACCCCCTCAACCCCTCCCCGTTATTTTCTCATCTCCTATAAAAGAAACAGAACGTACCTTGATTAGTAAAAGAAACAAACAGGGACAGAGACAGAGAACAAATGCTTTTTAAAGTTTTAGTAGAGGGTTTTACGGCACTCGCAACTGCATAAAGTCATATCAGCGCCAGAAGATTAGAGGTGTTACAAGAGAGTAACAAAAAGAAAAAAGAAGAAAGGGAGATGTGGACGATAGATGTTTGATAGGAAAGAAGAAGCAAACCACACCAGAGCACCCGCCAACCTCCCACTAAATACATTTAACTGTTGATATCCAGTGTGTATAACGCAAGTCGCAAGCGTGCAGCTGTTCAAAAACTAGGCCAAAAATCTTGAATATTTTTTTTCACTGCAATTTCTTAATCGGTGGTATCAGTTGCATGAACTAGATTAGATAACCTTTTCCAAATTCAAATCCTAAATGTTAAAAGTTAGAAAAGAAACATAAAGAGGGTAGAATTGTTAAAATAATGCAACCGTTTATTTTCCTCTCTCCCGAAAAATTCTAGTTTTCTTTCTGGGCTTAATATATTTTATTTTATTTTAAACAGTTTGTCAACAGTTTGCCAACTTAAAAAAAGCTCCTGGGGTAAGCCTGGACTCGACCTTGAGGCTCCGACTGAGAGATCTCGCCGACTGGATCCGTTTCGGTTCACCGACCTCGTGTTTTTTGTGACAGTGCTTTGTTCAAAGTGAGCGTGCGAATATTGCGAGGGGTGTTGTTGGCTGTTCTGTGTTCTGTGTTCAGTTGACGCTCCAGCTCTCGTCTGGTAAGTTTTAAGTGCATCTCTTGCCTGATTTGTTGACCCAACTAGGGATTTGGGGCAGGGTATTCTTTTTGCCCAGGTTGTGTATTTTCATGCGTGTGTATGTGTTTCTCTCTCTCTCTCTCTCTCTCTCTCTCTCTC